GCCGGTTGATAACGCGCCAGCTGTTTGAGTCATATAGCCACTGACGTCCCCCCCCTTACGTGTAACTACCATCTAATTGGTCCAACCCTGTACAAACACAATCGCTTGCTTTAAATTATGGTACACAAGGTTATCTCGAAGAGGTCTGATTTCTGCACATTTCTTGTTGTGTTCTTCCTTGGGGGCTCACACGAGGCGTAGTTAGACGGCGAAGATCGCAGCCTTTGGCTACCGTTACAGCACTCGGGATAGTCGGTGGTTCTTTTATCTGAATCTCGTCAAAGCCAATACTTTAAAGGATGATGGGTATTGAAAATTGAATCTTTTTTTAGATTTCATCATACATGTCTATAGAAGCAATTCTCATGGCGTTTGTCAGATTAAGGCCGTCTGTGTCCAACGACGTATTTTCTGGTACTAAAGATTCAACAATGAATGCCCGCGGTGGAGCTTGTTTCTGCTAAATTATTGTTTCATATTTCATGTTGATTCATACTTACCAGTGCAACAAAAGAGAATATAAGTTATTAGATAACGCGCCAATCCTGGGTCCTATGACAAATTCCAGAGAGAGAAAAGAAACTTAACGTGGATTTGGAACTAGAAAAATGCTATGCACAACCTTGGTTTGACAAGATGTACTTACCAAAGTGCACCGCAGCGTTAATGGGGTCGAAAGGACTGCCCATCCACCTTGTAATCCTGAACTGGCGAAGCGATTTGGAGGGTGCCGTGGTCACCTGGAGGCCTTTACTGTCTGAGGGCTGCAAACTATTGGACGTAAGTGACATGCTGTTTGATGAAAGGGTGCGATGTCGCAGGAGGGCGGGATAAGTAGAAGCCTGTTTGAGGTGTATTTTGCTCACTGAAGTAGCAGAGGCCAGTAAACTGGAGGCCATAAAGGACGGCTTTCGATAACACAGATGAGGCATGCTCTGTGCCGCTGTGAACCATGCTTCCCCGGAATTTTCGTGGCTGTAGCCATCTGAAAGGTCATCCTCGGACGCAACGAGCGGAGTAAAGATAAGTTCGCTCAACACTTTATTAACTGTTGCCGGCATATGTGGCTCAATTCCGAACCCGTGACGGTAATCCGACGTTCCATGCAAGAAATCAGACTTTGCGTGGAGTCTTTGGCGCGGGGCTGGAAGAGAGTTTGAAACCGCTTTCTCACGGAACCTTGTTAACCTTCCTCTACTTTGTACGGTTTTCATTTCTTTATGTATGAAAAGCAAAAAAGAGTCCGATCGGATTAAGCAGGGACCTAAAAAATACTGACTTCTATCTATTGGATCCCAAGTAACAAGAAAATTTCATTCAACAACTGAGTGTGTGATAAAGTTTGCCAACATTTAATAATTGTTTTATGAGAAAAAATTGTTTGAAAGTTCTAAAAGTAACTGAATAAAAGGGCGTAGAGGCCAAACAAAAATAGAACTTGGGTTTTCCGGAGGGTTTCTAAATTATTAATTTGTTCACGAAATTGACATGTGAGCTAAAGTTTAGAGTACACATTTTGGATGAAAGCAATGCTTGCGAATATGCTGAATTAACGCAGGCCAATCACTCCTCTAAACAAACGACTTTTCTGTGAATGTAGAAAACTGTTGGAGTTTTGACGATGGCGATGGGTGTAGGATGCAGATAAACTACTCAGGTCTTTGTAATCTGGAACATCCAAAATAATTGCTGCTTAATTGATGTGAGGAGTATGATAATTTTCATCGATATCAAGGCTATATTACCGTAAGTCAGTCTATATGTGTAATAAATGGAAGGATAATTGTAGAAGATTCTGCAGATCAACTATCAGGTGGAGGTCACAGCCGCGCAAGACAATAGTTTATTTTTGCAGCCACTATTTAGGATCCGACCCAGTCAAAGTATGACTGTGATTCCTTACCAAGGATTCAGAATGGACAGTGAAGTCTACCAAGGAGTTTCTAGTCCGCATCCAGAAGTTGTAAGTAGAGGCAGAGGAGGTCGTGTTGTAGTTGGAGGTGATCTCGTTGTTGGCCTGTATTCCAATCACTCTGGTTATCGACACTATTGGTAGTTTTCTCCAAGAAAAATACAATGAAACCGACCAAGAACGCAAGCCAGCGCACATCACGGAGCTCATGTAACTGTATCTAAATACTTTCTTCACGTTCAATGGCCAGGTTTACGAAAGAAAGAAGGGGATAGCAAGGGGCTCGCCTCTGTCTGGCCTTATTACCGAAATTGTTTTGCAGAGGTTCTAGCGGCCGGTCTTCAGTTCTTTCACATCAAACTTGTGAGTCAGGCATGTGGACGACAATTTCGTCGTCATCAACAGGAGCAAAGTGCAGGCTTTCAAGGCACCGCTGAATTCTATCTGTCCGGACATCCATTTCAGTATCAGAGAAGAGGTCAACATGCAAGCCGCATAGCAAGCAGACGGGAAGATCGGGACAACGGTCTACCGTCAGGCAACCAACACTATGCGCATCCTCCATTTCAGGAGCAATCACCTCATTGGTCGAAAGCATTCAGGCACACTACATCGACGATAGTGGGGAGAGGAGGAGATTAAGTACTTGCATGTCCTGTTTCAAGTCAACGGTTATCCAGAGTCCTTCATACACAAGTGCTTAAGAAGTTCCGACTTCAATGGTCGAAACGAGAAGATCTTAATTTCTGGCCCGCAATCCCATAAGTGAAGAAACTACCAGAGGCGACTGCAAGAATCCTGAAACCATTCGGGATCGGCGTGGCTCATAAGCCGGAGTCAAACGGCAGACAGCAGATCATGAGGCCTAAACACCCGATATCATTGACAGAACAGTCAGCCGTGGTCTACAACATGACATCCCAAGACTACAACGCAAGCTACGTTGGGTAAACGGGCAAATGTTTTGGCAAAAGGTTGCATGAGCATCAGCTCGAAATTAATCGCAAGGATAAGCTGCCTATTGTCCATGTCCACGTACAGCAGAAGGACCACATTTTCGCCCTTGATAAAGCAAATGTAAAAGGCCAAGTCAATGACAAGATGGCCGGATTGCTGCTGAAAAGTTGGTCTTCGACTGGCACACTAAACAGAGCCATAGAACCTCCTCCCGCCTACAAAGCCTTACGCAAACGACTCGAGTCAGTTATAACAAGGCAAACAGGACGCCAAAGCAAAATCTAACATGGACTACGACAGAGGTCAGACGAGAGTAGGAGAAAAGCCGGTCAGGAACCACGTGACCAGCGTGGGCCACTACCACACCACCACACCCACGAGGTTAAAATCAACTCACACGGACAGAAACAAATGATTAGTCAGTCGGTCGACGAGGGGTAGGCTAGCAAGCACGCCGACGTGCAAACAATTACGAAAGCCGCAAAGGGGAAAATGGTCACATGGGCCCACTAGCGGTCAACCTCACGGTCGGTCAGCAACGAACAGGCAAGTCAGTGTTCGTGCGTCGAGCATGGACATAATACCAGGCATGTGGCAAGGCTGAAACAGTCCCGGAACAATCACCACATTACTTTGAAGATATAACACAGCGAGTGTCCAAAACGTCAGTTTAAATATACTTCGGTCCATTTCCTTGTCCCTTCTGATTCATCTTCTTTGAGGGAAGGTGAAAAGATCTCTGAATGCAACTACGGCGGCACATTACAAGGTCAGATTGAATGCGTAAACTCCGACCTTGAGTCAGTAGCAAATGGAGCCGATAAACAAAATTGACCATGATTTTAGTGACCTGGCCTTCACCCTACAGACAGCACACAGTCAACTTCTGCTAATGATCCCGGACCCGGCTGCGCAAGCCCAACGATAGATGTCTCACGTTCACGCTGCTGCCTCAGCCCATACAAGTGTCGCCCGTTCCAAAGTCGCTCCGAGCGTGTTGATTCGTTTGTGTAAAAGCAGTTCGCATCCACCCGCGATTTGCCTACACAATCTATGTTTATCTCCTGGAGCTTGGTTTTGACCAGTTGAAGATGGCAAAGTACTTGAAATGATCTTTTTGGCCTTTTGTGTTTTTGCCTGCAATAGAACTCGCGTTTATTGCTCTTCATTAGGAAGACTCTAAACCAGAACACTAAAACAATATGGAGGAAATTTTCCTTAAAGCAGTTTGGAGGCAGGATACAGTTAAAAGTACCCTTCCCCTCATATTACAGTTGGCCTTACGCTAAATTTCAGGGAGAATTGGTTTCGGGTGAGCTTAAGGTTAAGCATTTGTGTCAACGTTAGATTAAGGACACAGGAATAGGTACCTACACTGTAATTTATCGCAAGACCACCCGCAATATGGGAGGGAGAAGTGCTTATACCCAACTCCAAGCAATTTTATATGACCTACTATCAAAAAGGGCAAACAATTTGGGGAGCTAAGTTTTGTCGATTTTTCGTGTTGTATTCAACAGCTTGTCTACGAATGCCTCTAGTCTTTTAGCATCTCCTGAAGGCGTTCTTTATCCACAAATTTAGAAATGGCATTTTAAGGAAGTTTATGACTGCGGACTGTCCTACAGTTCGTTTAAATTTATAAAGAGAGACGAGAAGAAACTTACTACGTTAACAGATTCGCTTATTTCTACCTCCCAGCAACTGTATGATTTGTTTTTACAATGCTATCTGAGAACTAGTTGCAGCCCGTTTTTAACTTTTATTGTTGAAAAAGGCACTACCAAGTCTGTTCAGCGAAGAAAAACATGATGAGTTTGTGGGCTCTTGGCCCTACTTGTGCGTTGTTTAAATTTATCAATAACCAA